ATTGCAACCCCTGCTTTTTTTTGTTTTCCATTTGCTTGGTAGGTCTTCCTCCATCCCTTTGTTTTGAGCCTGTGTGTGCCTCTGCACGTGAGATGGGTCTCCTTTATACAGCACACTGATGGGTCTTATTTTTTTTTCCAATTTGCTGATCTGTGTCTTTTAATTCGGGCGTTTCGCCCATTTACTTTTTTTTATTGTTATGTGTGAGTTTGATCCTGTCATTATGATGTTAGCTGGTTATTTTTTTTTTTAGTTGATGCAGTTTCTTCCTAGCATCAATGGTGTTTCCAGTTTGGTATTTTTTTTTAGTGGCTGGTACCGGTTGTTCCTTTCCATGTTTAGTGCTTCCTTCAGTAGCTCTTGTAAGGCAGGCCCGGTGGTGACAAAATCTCTCAGCATTTGCTCGTCTGTAAAGAATTTTATTTCTCCTTCACTTATGAAGCTTTGTTTGGCTGGATATGAAATTCTGGTTTTTTTTTTCTTTTCTTTAAGTATGTTGAATATTAGCCCCCACTCTCTTCTGGCTTTTTTTTTTTCTTCCGAGAGATCCACTGTTAGTCTGATGGGCTTCCCTTTGTGGGTAACCCAACCTTTCTCTCTGGCTGCCCTTAACATTTTTTCCTTCATTTCAACTTTGATGATTTTTTTTATTGTGTGTCTTCAAGTTGCTCTTCTCGAGTATCTTTGTGGCATTCTCTTTTTTTTTTGAATTTGAATGTTGGCCTGCTTTGCTGGGTTGGGGAAGTTCTCCTGGATAATGTCCTGAAGAGTGTTTTCCAACTTGGTTCCATTCTCCTCAACACTGTCAGGTATTTTTTTTAGACATAGATTTGTCTTTTTAAGTCCCATATTTTTTGGAGGCTTTGTTCTTTTTTTTTTACTCTTTTTTCCTCTAACTTTCTCACTTTTTTTTTACTCTTTTTTCCTCTAACTTTCTCACTTCATTTCATTCATTTGATCTTGAATCAATGATACCCTTTCTTCCACTTGGTCAAATCGGCTACTGATGGTTGTGCATGTGTCACGTAATTCTTGTGCCATGGTTTTCAGCTCCATCGGGTCATTTAAGGTCTTCTCTATGCTGTTTATTCTGGTTAGCCATTCGTCTAATCTTTTTTCAAAGTTTTTAGCGTTTTTTTTATGAGTTCAAACATCCTCCTTTAGCCCGGAGAAGTTTGTTATTACCGATTTTTTTTTGCCTTCTCTCAACTTGTCAAAATCATTCTCCGCCCAGGTTTGTTGCGTTTTTTTTTTGGAGCTGTGTCCCTTTGGAGGAGAAGAGGTGTCTGATTTTAGAATTTTCAGCGTTTCTGCTCTGGTTTCTCCCCATCTTTGTGGTTTTATCTACCGTGGGTGTCTTTTTTTTTTGTGACGTACAAATGGGGTTTTGGTGTGGTTGTCCTTTTTGTTTGTTAGTTTTTTTTTTAACAGTCAGGACCCTCAGCTGCAGATGATGGTGACATACAAATGAGGTTTTTTTTTGGATGTCCTCTCTGTTTGTTAGTTTTCCTTCTTTGTTAGTTTTCCTTCTTTTTTTTTGGACCCTCAGCTGCGGGTCTGTTGGAGTTTGCGGGAAGTCCACTCCAGATCCTGTTTGCCTGGGTGTCACCCGTGGAGGCTGCAGAACAGCAAATACTGCAGAACGGAAAATGTTGCTGCCTGATCCTTCCTCTGGAAGCTTCATCTCAGAGGGGCACCTGGCTGTATGAGGTGTCAGTCGGTCCCTACTGGGAGATGTCTCCCAGTTAGGCTACTTGGGTTTTTTTTACCCACTTGAGCCGGCAGTCTGTCCGTTCTCAGATCTCAACCTCCGTGTTGGGAGATCCACTATTCTCTTCAAAGCTGTCAGACAGGGACGTTTAAGTTTGCAGAATTTTTTTTTGCCTTTTGTTCAGCTCTGCCCTGCCTCCAGAGGTGGAGTATACAGAGGTTTTTTTTCTTCTTTGAGCCACGTTCAAGCTTCCCGGCCGCTTTCTTTGCCTAGTCATTTTTTTTCAATGGTGGACGCCACTCCCCCAGCCTCACTGCCGCCTTGCAGTTCGATCTCACTGCTGTGCTAGCAGTGAGTGAGGCTCCGTGGGCGTGGGACCCTCCAAGCCAGGCGCGGGATATAATCTCCTGGTGTGCCATTTGCTAAGATTATTGGAAAAGCACAGTATTAGGGTGGGAGTGTCCTGATTTTCCAGGTACTGTCACAGCTTCCCTTGGCTAGGAAAGGGAATTCCCCAACCCCTTGCACTTCCCTGGTGAGGCGATGCCCTACCCTCGTTCGACTCACAGTCTGTGGGCTGCACCCACTGTCCGACAAGCCCCAATGAGATGAACCCAGTACCTCAGTTGGAAATGCAGAAATCACCTATCTTCTGCATTGCTCATGCTGGGAGCTGTAGACTGGAGCTCTTCCTATTCGGCCATCTTGGAACCTCTTAAATTATTTTTGTTTTGTGTGATTGCAATTTTGGAATGTTTCTTCAGGTGCAACGAAGGGCGTGTTGGTAGACATTGTGAATGCAGCACAGATGAAGTTAACAGTGAAGACATGGACGCTTACTGCAGATTTTTTTTCAGTTCAGAAATCTGCAGTAACAATGGAGAGTGCGTTTGTGGACAGTGTGTTTGTAGGAAGAGGGATAATACAAATGAAATTTATTCTGGCAAATTCTGCGAGTGTTTTTTTTTCAACTGTGATAGATCCAATGGCTTAATTTGTGGAGGTAAGTAAAGGACCTGAAGTGGTTGTAAGACGTGATCTCATCTAATGCCACAAAAAATCTAGAGTTTACTTGGTGCATAAGTAGAAAAGGGGCAGCTCGAGGGTCAGTTCTGCCCCAGGTATACTTCCTTTTTTTTTGTTGCTTATTTTACTTTTCAGTCAATACTGTGATTGTATATTTTTACCTTTAGTTTGAGAAATGGTATGCTTAATTGCAGGAAATGGTGTTTGCAAGTGTCGTGTTTTTTTTTGCAACCCCAACTACACTGGCAGTGCATGTGACTGTTCTTTGGATACCAGTACTTGCGAAGCCAGCAACGGACAGATCTGTAATGGCCGGGGCATCTGCGAATGTGGTGTCTGTAAGTGTACAGATCCGAAGTTCCAAGGGCAAACATGTGAGATGTGTCAGACTTTTTTTTGTGTCTGTGCTGAGCATAAGTAAGTATTTTCTAATTGCTTGAAATAGTTTTTTTTTTCTCTTGGCTCTCCTAAGCCTGTATTGTTATTAGAACCGGAACAGTGCCAGTATTAGAATATACTATAAATAAAATGCCTGCCACGTGGAAGCCTACTCTTTAATTCTTTTTTTTTTTTTCTCAACAGTTAGTATGTATTACATGGTATGAAGTATGTCATGTGTTTTTTTTACTATTATTTTGATCTGAATGTGGTAGATAATTGAATTTACATGATAACTTTTTTTTTGGCAATTAAGATTTAATTTAGTTTGTCATTACCAATTTCTTAATTACTTTTTTTTTACAAAACTAAGCCAAATTAAAGATTTTTCCTCTTGAAGGATTATTATACTTTTTTTTTATTTAAATTATTTAAATATTATGATTTTGGCCGAGGACAGTGGCTCACTTTTTTTTTCCCAGCACTTTGGAAGGCCGAGGCAGGTGGATCACTTAAGGTCAGGAGTTTGAGACCAGTCTGGCCAATGTGGTGAAACCCCATCTCTACTAAAAATACAAAAATTTTTTTTTTATGGTGGTGTGTGCCTATAATCTCAGCTCCTTGGGAGGCTGAGGCATGTTTTTTTTTTGAACCCGGGAGGCAGAGGTTATAGTGAGCCAAGGTTGTGCACTGCCTGGACGACAGAGCAAGACTCCATGGCAAAAAAAAATTATTATGATTTTATGTTACGTATTTAATATGTGATAGGGCTAATTTATTTTACTATCTTTTATTAATAGTGTTTTAATTTGAACTGTAATAAATCTTTTATTATGGAAATTAGCATCTTTTTACATAATTTTTCTATTTTTTTTATGTAATGCACCTCTTCATTTATTCAGATCCTCCTTCATAGCTGTTTGTTTTTTTTTGTCACAAGAGTTTAGCATGGGAAATATGTTTAAGCAAATATTTATTGAATTTTTTTTATTTAAATATAATAATATGGTTTTTTTTTTTAACAGAGAATGTGTTCAGTTTTTTTTCTTCAATAAAGGAGAAAAGAAAGACACATGCGCACAGGAATGTTCCTATTTTTTTTTTACCAAGGTAGAAAGTCGGGACAAATTACCCCAGCCAGTCCAACCTGATCCTGTGTCCCATTGTAAGGAGAAGGATGTTGACGACTGTTGGTTCTATTTTACATATTCAGTGAATGGGAACAATGAGGTCATGGTTCATGTTGTGGAGAATCCAGGTAGAAATGCGATGATTGCAAACATTCTTTTCATATTTTGTATGTCTTGTTTCTGCTTATTTAGGCCTAACATCCAGAAACAGCCTCCAGCTGGAATATTTTAGGTCAAGTTGGGAAATTTTTCATCTTTCAAAGCTTAAAATATTACCTAATTAACTGTATAAGAAATAAGGAAAACATTTTTTTTCTTTTAAGTTTTCTAAGTGGAGAGTTTGAAGATTAAATGCAGTGATTTATTTTTTTTACTTAGAACGATGCCTGACACCAAGTGCGTAGTAAGAGTTTTTTTTTTATTTTTTTTGATTTTAAAATTAGAGCTTGATTTAAGTTTGAATACTAGGAAAGATAATTTGTTAAAGGATATTAATATAAAGTGTTGATTTTGTTCAACTTCTCTGAAGGTGAAACTTTTTTTTTTTTAATCTTAGTTTTCTTGGTAGCCTTTTTGTAGATTCTTTAGAATTTTTTACCTTAGTGTACATGTTTTTGTGTAAACATAAGCTTTCATTTCTCTTGGGTAATTTTTTTTAATGGCATTTTGGAGCATATGGTAAGCATATGTTTAACTTTGTAAGAAGTTTTTTTTTTCTTAGGGTCCTGTAGTGTTTTGAATTATCATCTAGGGGTTCTGCAAATATTGTCTCCCAGCCTGTGCCTCCTTATCGTTTCATTTTTTTAAGTGTCTTTTGAATACCACAGGTTTTAATTTTGATTAAGTACAGTTTACCAAGTTTTTCTTTTGTGGCTCTTATTTTTACATTGTCTTTCAGAACTCTGCCTAACCCAAGATTTTAAGGATTTTTCTCCTGTGTTTTTTTCTAGAAGTTTTATAGTTTCTGGGGTTTCACATTTAGATCTGTAACTCATCTTTAGTTATTCTTAGTGTGTGACAAAAGGCTCAGTTTTTTTCATATCAGTGTTTTTTTTTTCTAGGGGCATCTGTTGAAAAAAGACTGTCCTTTCTCCACCTTTGTTGAAAATCAGGTGACCTTACATGTGTAGGCCTGTTTCTGACTCTATTCTGTTCCATGTATTTTTTTTTCTATCTGTTAGCTATACCACGTGGTCTTGTAGCTTTCTTTGTAGCTAGCTTTTTTTTCAGGTAATAAGAGTCTTCCAACTTTATTATTTTACAAAAGTGTTTTTGATTTTTTTTCCCTAGTTCACTGCCTTCCACGTTAATTTTAAAATTGGCTTGCTGATTGCTACAGAAGTTCTGCCAGGAGTTTGAGTGGGATACTATTGAGTTTATAGATCAAACTGGGAAGAATTGACATCTTAACAGTATTAGATTTTGTAACTCCTGCACATGGAGTATCTCTCCATTTATTCAGTCTAAAAGATTTCTTTTTATCAGTGTTTAGTAATTCTTAACATGCAAATTTTGCATATATTTTGTTAGACTTATATGTAAGTTTTTCATGCTTTTTCATTTTTTTTTAAATATTACTGTTTAAAAATTTCTGTTTTCAGTATGTGGAAATAAATTATTTTTTTTGAAAAGTACATGATTTTTGTTCATTGATTATGTATCCTTCAAGCTTGTATTTTTTTTTGTTAGTTCTAAAAGCTATTTTATAGATTCTTTGGGATAGTGTGCGTTCACTCTCTTGGGTGTTTATTCCTGTATTTTTTTTTAATAAGATACTGCCTAGCTTTGTTTTTTTTTTTATAACCTTCTTATTTTCCAGAGTGTCCCACTGGTCCAGACATCATTCCAATTGTAGCTGGTGTGGTTGCTGGAATTGTTCTTATTGGCCTTGCATTACTGCTGATTTTTTTTCTTTTAATGATAATTCATGACAGAAGGGAGTTTGCTAAATTTGAAAAGGAGAAAATGAATGCCAAATGGGACACGGTAAGTTACAAAACATCTAAAAAGCAAAGTGTTTTTTTTAGTAAATGTAATACTCCTAAGACTTATATATTAACTGTCAGGGTGATCATTTTTTTTATTTTTAAGTGTTTTATTCCCCCAAAAGTTACTCAAGGAATTTGCATTTAGTGAAAAACAGAAAGCATCCTAAATATATCCCATTGAAACAAAACATCGATTATAATTTTTTTTATTCTGGTTACTGTGGCCAGTATTTTTATTTCTTTAATAGTTTCGATCCTTTTTTTTCCTTTTCATCTAATGTGGGGCAGAATCCTAAATAATGTTATCTGTGTAGCAAGCTATTCAATGGAAAGCTGTTTCTTTCTTTAAAAAAAGAAACAAAAAAACAAAGTTTTTTTTATGAAAGCCAGATTCAAAAGGTTGTATACCAAGTTTGTCCAACTTGCAGTTTTTTTTCCAGGACATGCAGACCAGAACAGCTTTGAATGTGGCCCCAACACAAATTTTTTTTTTTTCTTAGAAATTGTAAGTTTTTGTTTTTTTTTTTTTTTTTGGTGACTTTTTTTTTTTCTTATTGGCTATCGTTAGTGTATTTTATGTGTGGCCCAAGACAATCATTTTTTTTTTAATGTGGCCCAGGGAAGCCAAAAGATTGGACACCCCTGCTGTATACAATATGATTCCATTTAGAAGATATTCTGGAAAAGCAAAACTGTAGGGGCAAAAATCAGTGGTTGCTAGGGGCTGGAACGGGGGAAAGGGTTGACCACAACAGGGCGTAAGGAATCTTCCTGGGGATAATCTTGATTGTGGGTAGATTTATGTATTTGAAAACTCACAGAACTATGTACTTTAAAAAGATGTGTGTTCCTCTATGAAAATTGTATCTCAGTAAACCTTAGCTTTTTTTTTTCTTAAAAGCCCTAAGTGACTGAAAGTTTATGTTAGCATTTTTAGAGCTTTGAAATAAGGAGTCAGAGGGTGGGGTAACCAAATGTTGGCCTTTGTGTATCCATCTTTTGATACAAGAAAGCAATGACAATCTTCAGTATTTTTAAATTGTAAATGAATTGTAGTTAGTTGCACTTTACTACAATTTCCTTGGGTTTTTTAAAATTATCAATTTTTTAAATTATAAATTGCAGAAGGGTAGAAATAGAAAAAAAATTCCCTTTATAGTGTTTGAACACTATAAATGTCCTTTTTTTTTCTGATGAAATCATTAGAAACTATTTCTTTTACTTTAGCAAGAAAATCCGATTTACAAGAGTCCTATTAATAATTTCAAGAATCCAAACTACGGTTTTTTTTCTGGTCTCTAAATTGCCGTTCGTATTTTCCTTCACTTTCTGCCTTTGCATTTTTTTTTTTATCTTTTTTACTGCACTGTGTGTCCTTATCACTATTGCTGGTCTTTTTTTAAGTCTGGCTTTAAATATCGCTATTGTGGCTTTTCTTTTTGTGTGTTAACTTCGCGTTTTTCTTAGAAAGACTGTAAAATAAGTAATGTGATATAGAATAGCAGCTATGTTTTTTTTTAAAGAGAATGTGCTTTGCAATTAGTTAGACATTAGGTCAAATCCCACCTTTTTTTTTTAGTAAGCAGAACAGCATTGAGCCACTTCACTTCTCATCTATCACAGGGAGTCAGTACTCTGTATTGTATGGGGTGGTTGTATTTGGCAAATGCACTCCAGTATATTTTTTTTTCCTGTCAGCTCTAATCCTCACAACAGTCCTATGCCTAGAATAATATTATTTTTTTTTCTTTTTTTTTTTTTTTTTTGAGACAGAGTCTTGCTCTGTCGCCCAACCTTTTTTTTTGTGGTGTGATGACAGCTCACTGCAACCTCTGCTTTCCAGATTCCAGCGATTCTCCTGCCTCAGCCTCCCGAGTATCTGGGATTACAGGTGCCTGCCACCACACTAGGCTAATTTTTTTATTTTTAGTAGAGACGGGGTTTCACCATGTTGGCTGGGCTGGCCTTGAAGTCCTGACCTCCGGTGTTCCACCTGCCTTGGCCTCCCAAAGTGCTGGGATTACTTTTTTTTGCCACTGTGCCCCACCAGTATTATCCTTAAATAACAAATTTGTTATGAGTTTTTTTTAGGGTCGGATAGTGAAAATTGATCATGAAATCCAAATTGCAGAATAGAATTTTTTTTGTAACCTAGTGTGATATTTGTATGGTATGCAACTACAGTATCATTATTGGTTCTCAAAAGATTTGAAATCAGTTTCTTGAATATAACTTAAAATTTCATTAAAAACTTTTTTTTCATATATATGTATGTATATTATATATATATGTGTGTGTGTCTGTGTATGTTTTTTTTATTCTAATTTTCAAATGTAAGTTTGTAACTTCATACCTGAATTTTCATGTTTTTTTTCCAGCATATTCTAATATAATCATGCAAGCCCCTAAAACTCTGATAACAATTTTTTTTTGTGATTAGAACTAAATTCTCCTGACTGGCGATTGAGAACTCTTCCTCCTTTTCCCAACTGTCTGACTATAATAGGGCCTGGAAGATTTCCACTTTTCTCACTGCCTTTTTTTTTGTGCAGATAAAGACAGTGTTGGTGACACATACAGATCATTGTGTCTCATTTTTTTTTCTAAACTCTTAATCTATATTTAATCTTCATAGTGAAAGTTGTAGGAATTTTTTTTTTATGAGAAAACTGAGACACATAAGGGTTATGTAACTTGACCGAGTTCCCATGGCTAGTCAGTCAGAGAGCTGAAATTTGAACCCAGGCAGTTGGGCTCCAGAGTCCTTTTTTTTGTCTACGACATTGTACTTCGTAGCAGCTATGTATCTTCAGAAGTCCCTGTTTTTTTTTTAGGAAGAGGTAGATCACTCTTTATAGAGATTTACAGCCTTTTTACAATTTTTTTTTACTCTGTCAGAGTTAACACTGCTGCCGTTGGCAAACATCATATTAGGGACATCACTTTAATACATGGAACCCAGTGCTGCAGTTGTGCTTATTGACTGTTGAGAGTTTTTTTTCAAACTGATCATGAATAAGAGCTTAAAGGACAGGAATGTTTAATAGTTACAAGTGATATGGGAAGGACTGATAACATTAGAAATCATTAACTTGTCAGATTTTTATTTCTAAGTAGATCGTAAGACTTTTTAAACTTAAATTTGTTGGCAGAAAATTATATTCTTTTTTTTCATACGAGCAGGTTGGTACAAATTTGTGTTAGTCTGAGACAACACATTTTTCTCGTTCTCACTTAGTACTTTACAGAAAGTCATTTTTAGAGGAAAACTGATTAGCTTTTTTTTTTGCCAGGCTTTTTTTTTTTTTTTAATAGATATTATTTTCTTTAGTTGTTTTTTTTTAATAGGCAAATGTTGACAATTTCGTGTGGTTATTTCTCGCAGGAGAAAATTTTTTTTACCTACTGAGGTGAAATTTTCACCCTTGCTGTACCTTTAATTGTATTTTTTTTTTTTTAATGAGTAAATGTTACTTAAACTTAATGTTTATAATGTATATATGGCTTTTTTTTTGCTAAAATAAGCATTTTGTGTAATTCAAGAAGCAAAAGTTTGGTAAACATTTCTCTATGCATTATTGAAGTCCAGGCAATTTGATGGCTACAGATTATTTTAAGAGTTTTTTTTTCAAGAAAAAGTAGAAATTAACAATTGAAATAAATGAAGGAGCATCAAGAAATTACATCACGGATTGTAAAAAACTTTTCTGATACGGACCAAGGTTTGCCAGTCATTTTTTTTATTAAACTTTTTGAAATAATGGGTAGGCACTAATTACTTTGGCACCAGACTACCATGTAGGAACATTAAAAAGAACACGTCACATTACCAGCTTCTAACTGTTGGAGTGGGTTAAAAAAAATGGTCTGTCCTAATCTGCTCTATGCAGGTTTAAATGTGGATCCCAAATCTCCCACAGTTCTGCATTACATATTTAATACATTATAGAAATGGTTCTGTAGCTACCACTGTCAGCCATTCCAGAGTGAGCACAAAGATGACATTTTATTGAGCTTGATTTTTTTTTTTCATAATATAACCCTGTTCTCTTGATGTGGATTTTATTGGGGTTGGGGGGGGTGGTGCACTCTGAATGATGGAAACTAATCTGAATTATTTTAGTTCACCTTCATTTTTTTTGATGCCTAATGCAGATAGTGAGCTTAATTTTACCTCTAACCTTGCATGTTTTTTTTTTGTTTGAATGGACTTTGAAATAATAAATACAAGTGTTTGTGTATATGACAAGACAGATTTTTCTCCAAAGGTAAGTTCTTCCATATAAATTACACTTTGGACTCATTTTTTTTTGGCTTTTTTTATTTTTTGTTTTCTTTTTTTTTTTTGTCCTTCCCTTATATTTTTTTTGTATTAAATACTAGATTTAGCAAATATGATTTTAAAGAAACTTAGATGGTTTTTTTTTTTCCCAACATATTTGAAGGAATGCGTAGCACTTAGCCTCAAATCAGATTTTTTTTTAATGTGGAGTGTAATTTATTTGCACTCTGGCTTTTTAAGATGGTAGTTGTTTTTTTTCAGTTTCCTGACCCCCATTTTGAAATGTCTGCTCTCAAAACTGTATAATTTTTTTTTTTCAGTTGGGACTAGAGCTGAGAGTTTGATGTACACAGTTTTGTCATCCTTTTTTTTTGCTGTTTGAGGCATCCTGAGCTTGTCCATGTTTCTGCAGCAGCCATTCTTTTTTTTTTTTGAGGAGGGGGAGTGATGAGGACTGAGGCATGTTGTCAGGTTCTGATTTTTTTTACATGAGCTGCTGAGCTGAAATCACAGAGGTTTATTTGGTGTCTTGTGGGACCCAGCCTTTTATATGCTACATTTTTCCCTTGGTGGTATGGGATACCTACAGGATGAAGGTCAGACTTCATAGCAAGGTTTCTAGGGCCGTTCTTCCTTTGTCTCCTCACCTTTTTTTTTATGCCCCCTTAACTCTTTTTTTTTTTTTTTTGAGATGGAGTCTTGCTCCTTTTTTTTGGCTGGAGTGCAGTGCTGCGATCTTGGCTTACTGCAATCTCCGCCTCCCTTTTTTTTGTGATTCCCCTATCCCAGCCTCCCGAGTATCTGGGATTACAGGCACACGCCACCACACCCAGCTAAGTTTTGTACTTTTAGTAGAGACAGGGTTTCACCATGTTGTCCCGGCTGATCTCAAACTCCTGACCTCAAGTGATCCACCCCTCGGCCTCTCAAAGTTCTGGGATTACAGGCATGAGCCACTGCGCCTGCCCTCTCCTAACTCTAAAAGCTTCTGAACTATATATATTTCTATTTAAATGTCCCATTCTTTTCCCTACACCTTGACCTTGCATGGATTTCTGTTTACCAGCCAATAATTTATCTATAGTCAATTTCACAATGAAAATCTTTTTTTTTTTCTTAAAGTTGATAACTTTTTTCTTATACCATTCCCAGATTATGTTCATTTTTTTTTTGTAAACTTTATCAGAGTGCCTTATTTTCATGTCTCTCACCCACCAAATTTTTTTTTCCTTGAGGGCAGAAATTGTGGCACCAAAAGGCAGATCCAAATACAGTCTTTTTTTTAGTGTGAATAAAATTTAAAAACAAAATTTACTTTTAGATCAAAAAATGTTTTTTTTTGCTTTCTATTTTTTAAAAAATCACCTGCAGTTGGTTCTATAGTGAGATATTTTTTTTAACAACATTCCAAAATCTTAATTTTTTCCTGAAAAAAAATTTTCCTGGTTTTTTTTTAGTGTTTTTGATTTGTACTCACTGTAATTTGCTCTCCTAAAGTGTTATTTTTTTTTTCTTCTCACTTGGCTTTCAAGCCTGCTTTCAATTTATAAGAACAGGAGAATTTTTTTTGCTATAGCAAGTATTTACATGTAGCACTTGCAGTATAAGAGAATTTTTATTTTTTTTGGTGATACAGTGATATGTTTTTTTCTGCTGAAAACATCACTGTCAGTATATTTTTGGATCTTGAAAGATCTCTTGTGTTTATGGCTTGGAGCCTGCTTGCTAGCCTTTTTTTTTTACTGTTTACTAAATTATAGCATTGCAATAGGACATTTCACCAATATGATATTGAAGAATAACAACTATTTCATAAGGAATGGTAATTATCTAACATTCTAAGCAATTTTTTTTGTGTGACTTGGTGGGGCACAGTGCTATCCATGACACAATGGCAGCCTTACCCTCTAAATTAGTAACTTCTGTAGGAGATCCCAGAAGCACACCTCCCTCCCAGCAGTTTTTTTTAAGGATTCCCGTTTTGATTAGCAGGCGCCTTCTGTTCACAATAAAGGGATAAGAATCAGGCAGTGATGGCAGCAGAGTTCATGCTTCCTTAAGGCAGGCATTACAGTTTTTTTTAAAGGAGAGAATCCACGATGACAGTACATTCTGTGCCATGGAGAACATTCTTAAGCCTTCAATGGAGGGAAGGACTCAAGAATGAAATAGCACCAGATAGGGGCATCATTAGACTTGTAAAGCAAAGCTTCCATTTTCTATTTTTATATAAGCCATTATTAATACCTTTAAAACAACTGTGATATCTGGACAAATAAAATAGAAATGACTTCTTAAGATGATTACAACTCTTAGTCTTGATTTATAAAAATTATTCTATATAATTTTAGTAGAGTGATTTTTTTTCTTTTTTTTTTTTTTTAGGGTGAAAATCCTATTTATAAGAGTGCCGTGACAACTGTGGTCAATCCGAAGTATGAGGGAAAATGAGTACCGCCTGTGCAAATCCCACAACACTGAATGCAAAGTAGCAATTTCCATAGTCACAGTTAGGTAGCTTTAGGGCAATATTGCCATGGTTTGGCTCATGTGCAGGTTTTGAAAATGTACAATATGTATAATTTTTTTTTTTTTTTATTATTTTGAAAATAATGTAATTCATGCCAGGGACTGACAAAAGACTTGAGACAGGATGGTTATTCTTGTCAGCTAAGGTCACATTGTGCCTTTTTGACCTTTTCTTCCTGGACTATTGAAATCAAGCTTATTGGATTAAGTGATATTTCTACAGTGATTGAAAGGGCAATAGTTAATGAGCATGATGAGAGTTTCTGTTAATCATGTATTAAAACTGTTTTTTTTCTTTACAAATATGTCAGTTTGCAGTTACGCAGAATCCAAAGTAAATGTCTTTTTTTTTAGTTAAGGATTGTTTTAAATCTGTTATTTTGCTATTTGCCTGTTAGACATGACTGATGACATATCTGAAAGACAAGTACATTTAGAGTTGCTGGTGTAAAATAGGTTTTTTTTAGTTGATCTCCACAGGCCATGGGAAAAATTCAGAGAGTTAGGAAGGAAGTTTTTTTTGCTTTAAAACCTGTGTGCCATTTTAAGAGTTACTTAATGTTTGGTAACTTTTTTTTTTTCACTTTACAAATTCAAGCCTTAGGTATAAGAACCGAGCAATTTTCTGTTTTTTTTTCCTTGATTTAGCACTATTTACATAAAGGCCATACTTTGCAAAGTATTTTTTTTTTTGGGACCTTTCAAGTTGAATTTATTTTATTTTATTATTTTTATTTTGTTTTTTTTTTTGTGCTTTTTATCACCTCTTCTAATCTTTTAATGTATTTGTTTGCAATTTTTTTTTTTGACTTTTTTTATGAGTACTTTTTCTTTGACGTTTTAGCGGTCAATTTGCTTTTTTTTTGAACATGTGAAGTTGTACCGTGGCTATGCAACAGCTCTCACCTATGCGAGTCTTACTTCGAATTAGTGCCATAGCAGACCACTGTATGTTTACTTCTCACAATTTTTTTTTTTCATCTTGTGTCATACTAGTCACATTCTTGTTTTAAGTGCCTTTAGTTTTTTTTTTTTACTTTTTACAGTGCTATTTACTGAAGTTATTTATTAAATATGCCTAAAATTTTTTTTTCGGATGTCTTGACTCTGATGTATTTTATCAGGTTGTGTGCATTAAATTTTTTTTTTTTAAAGAAGTTGAGGAAAAGCATTTCTGGTTGGTGGGTAGTTCACTTATGAAGCTAAAACAGAATTCTTTAAATGTACTAGGAACATAAGGAGAATGGTACGGTAATTTTTTTTCTTGAAGACTGTCCTTGGGCTCTCTGAATAATGGTGGATAGATCCTTATTTTTTTTTGCTGGGAGACAGATTTCATCCCAACATTAAGCAGAATTAAATTTATGAACATCTTAGAGCCATTAGTAGGTGCTGGAAACTGTATCAGTTTATTTAAGATAGGGGATTTTTTTTTTTTCTGATAAGAAAAATTAGGAAAAATTTTACTTTTATTTGGCTTTGGTTTTTTTTTGAAAGGATATATCCATAAGAACTACTTGTGTAAAGCTTATTAGAAGAATTTTTTTTTCCTTTCTTAAGCATACAACAAATGTCAGAAATATTTGGAGGAGAAAAGTTTTTTTTCTTGCTAGCCTCTCATGTTTATACAATCCCTTCACATCCTGTTAATTGATTTTTTTTTAGTTACTCCATTTAAATGTGTTTCATAGCTTAAAGCATCTTTGAGGTGTTTTTTTTACATTTTTACTAATAGTTTGTAAGATCCATCAAAAAATTATATTTATTATTCTCTGTCACCCGTTTCATCTTGTTTACCACCATCCATAATTCCACTTAATTCATTTTTTTTTTCCTTAGGCATAATCAATAAAGTTGAATTGCATATTTCTGCTCCAGAACTTTTTTTTTATAATGGTATTTTTTAAATATATTAGAACAAAGTAACAAAGCATATCTTTTTTTTTTACATATTTTTTTTTTCCCAAACACATGCTGGAGGCTGGAAGGTGGTGAATTTTTAGATTTTATATTATAATGTATAGCAGACAAAAAGATTTTCTAACTGTAGGAATTTTTTTTTTGGAAGTTGGAGGAATTGCGTACAAGTTTATTTCTCATGCTGACCGTATTTTTTTTAAATACTTAAATTGGATGACTCAGTTTGACATTTGAGTAATTCTAGGCTTTTTTTTTGCAATTTCAAAATATAGTCTGAGAAATGGATAATAGTATATCTATCTATTTTTTTTTATACACACCACACATTGAGATGCTTTGACTGAAGCCACATAGAACTTCATTTTTTTTATATTTATTTTCCCAGCAACAGTACTTTTTGATCTCCAGTGAAACACTTTCCGAAAAGCAAGAGTCCAGGAAGCAAAATAACAATCAGAATTTTTTTCCATTTATATTTTTTTTATTTACAAAATATTAAGTATCATGAGTACATTATTTGGCTAATGTCAAATTTTTTTTTATTTTACAGTGATTCCATGACATTTTACAAAGTTTTCTTACTCTTTTCTTTTTTTTCTTTATGAATTTCCTTAATACAGACACCCAGGTAAGACCTTGAGCCACAAGAACAGTTCATAATACCACTTAAAAAGTCACCTGTGGTCAGCTTTTTGTTTTTACCTTTTTTTTTTCCTTTCTGTTGCCCACTGCAGTTTGAGAGAGAACCTGAAGTAGAAGCTTTTTTTTTTTATCCCTTGGAGGCTTAATGTTTACATTTTTTAAACGTTCATTTTTATTTTTTTTAGGGGTACATGTGCAGGTGTGTTAACATGGACATGCTGCATAATGGCTACTAGTGTACCCATCACCTTAGTAGTGGACATTATAGTCAATAGGTAATTTCCACCTTTCACCCTCTTACTACCCTCTCTCTTTTGGAGTCCCGGGAGTCTGTTCTTTCCCTCTATTTTTTTTTGTGTACCCATTGATTAGCTTCCACTTACGAGTGAGAACGTGTGATAGTTTTTTTTTTGTTTCTGACTTACTTCACTTAGGGTGATGGCCTCCAGCTCCATCCGTGTTTTTTTTAAAGACATGACTTCATTAAGGCCTAGATATTTCTGATCTGATATGCTCAAAGAAGTTCAGAAACAAAATGAGTATCTCCTCAGGACTCCTTTTCAACCTGTAAAGATTTTTTTTTGGCTCTTTAGAATTTCTCTCATGACTCAGGATTCTTCTGAGAATTTAGTTTTTTTTGGAAGTGACTTCTGAGTGATGAGTGGGAGCAGATTTTCAAGGTGGTTTATTTTTTTTTTAAGTAGCCCATCAAATCTCCACTGCTCTGAGGGTGGTATGTCATCTATTTTTTTTCCTTTAGAGTACAAAAATGGTAGGAGAACCATGAGACAAGTATTAAGTTTTTTTTTTCGGCAATTCTTATCTTCATTTGCTTCTACAGTTAAGTCTTCACTAGACTTTTTTTTTAGATTTTAAATTTTTGAGGGTATAGAGTTTCCATAAAAAGTCATCAGTGTTTTTTTTTTTTATTTGACTTTCTACTTATTCTGGATTCTAAAACAGATGGACATATTTTTTTTTTACTTATGGATCAGTTTGAGAGAGGAAACACTATTCAGAAGATTTAAATTTTTTTTTTTAATCCATTGCTTTACTGCAAGTTTACAGAAGACACATTTGTCTTCACTTTTTTTTGCAGTAGTTGATATATTGACTTTACATGTGAAAACTTACACTAATGTTGCTTACTGACCAAAATTATTCCTGGGAGGTAAAGAAACCTTCAGATTTTCTACAGTAACCACTGACGGGCCCCCTAGCAGCCATTTTAAACATAAATTTGATGGTGTTGCCCAAACATCCACAGTCCAGTTCAACTTTCAGATCCTCAAGCCTGCCATAGTCCTTTGTGTTTTTTTTTTTTTTCTTATCCTTAAATGTGGTAGCTCCATGAGCACAGGGACCTGTGTTTTTTTTTTTTGTGTCTGCATACTTCACTTCGCAGAACATTTTCAAGGTCCATTCATGTTTTTTTTTGTATCAGAACTACACTCCTTTTGTGGCTAAATATTCCATTGCCTGTGTATTTTTTTTTTATCCATTCATTTTTCAGTGGACACTTGGGGTGTTTCCACCTTTTGGCTTTTTTTTATAATATTGCAATAAATATTGGCATATAAGTATCTGTTCAAGTTCATACTTTTTTTTCTTTATATGCCTAAAAGTAGATTCACTGGATCATACAGTAATCGTGTTTTTTTTTTTGAGGAACTGCCAAACTGTTTTCCACAGTGGCTGCACCATTTTACATTCCTTTTTTTTATGTATAAGGGTTCACCAGAGAACCCTCAGAACAGAACAGATACTTCACTTTTTTTTATCAATGGCACAAAAATCAGAAAAGAAAAAAATGGAAATGCAAATTAAATTTTTTTTGAGATATCATTAGATACCAATTAGAATGGCTAAAGTTTAAATGGCTGAATTTTTTTTTTGTATCCTTAGAACAATATCTGGCACAAAGTAAGGTGTAAGCAACCAATAAGTATTTGTTGAGTAGATGGATTCATTTCTGTAATTTGCTACCGTGCCCACCTACTTTTTTTTATCTGCAGTGACATACTGGCCTTCCTGCCAGTTCTTCTAGATAAATTCTCCAAGGCCAGACCTTCCACTTGTATTCCTCTTCCAAACTCCATCACCTATTGTCTGCTAAGACAAGCAGTTCTCTCTCCTGCATCATCAATTTTCCCCTCTTCTGGGTCATTGCTTTTTTTTACAAACATACTATAGTTACCATCTCTGTTTCTCTCTTTCCTTTTACAACTTTTTTTTTGTCTAAACCATACATCTGTGACCAAATGATTTTTGACAAGGTTTCCAATTTTTTTTAATGAGGAAAGAAAAATCTTTTCAACAGATGATGCCGGAATAACTGGATTTTTTTTTGCAAAAGAGTGAATTCAGAGCCCTAACTCACACCATATACAAATATTTACTCCAAATAGATCAGTGACATATCTAAGTATAAGAGCTGAAACCATCAGACTTTTAGAAGAAACATAGGGGTGTACTTCATGACCTTTAATTTGCCAAAGGGTTCTTAAGACACTTTTTTTTTGAATAACAAAAGATAAATTGGACTTCATCAAAATTAAAATTAAATTTTTTTTTTTTAAATTAAAAATATTTGTGCATCAAAGGACATTATCAAAAAAAGTAAGGCAACCTACAGAATGGGAGAAAATACTTGTAAGTTATATATCTGGTAAGGGATTAATACTTTTTTTTATAAAGAACTGCAATTTAACAAAAAGTCCAATTAAAAATGGGCACAGCATTTTTTTTTTCTCTAATGAAGATACATGAATGGCTAACATATTTTGAAAAGAGACTCTTTTTTTTTAGTCATCAGGGCAATGCAAATTAAAACCGTAATGAGGTACCACTTCACACTTACTAGGATGGCTCCACTTTTTAAAAAGTGGAAAGTAAGTGTTGGCAAGCATAGAACTCAGAAACCAGAATGCACTGCTGGTGGGAATGTAAAGTGGTACAACCACTGTGGAAAACAGTTCAGCACTCCCTCAGAGCTAAACATAAAATTACCATATGACCCTTCATTTTTTTTTTTAGATGTATAGTCAAAAGAAAGTAGGGGCTTGAACAGATACTTATATGTTCGTATTAATTGCAGCATTGTTCACAGTAGCCAAAACTTGGAAACAACCTAGATATCTTTTTTTTAGTGAATGGATGAAGAAAATGCATCATATATGGGACAGTGGCATATTATTTTTTTTTAAAAGGAATAGAGTTTTGATACATACAACATGATGAACCTTGCAGATGTTTTTTTTTGTGAAATAGACACAAAAGGACAAATACGTGTTCCACTTACATGAAATACTTTTTTTTGGTAAGTTCCCTACAGACAGAACAGCAGTTATTAGGTGCTGGGGGGTGGTTTTTTTTGGAAGTTATTGCTAATGGCTGTAGAGTTCTGTTTGGGATGGTTAAAAATTTTTTTTTTAGTGGCGATGGTCACATAACATTGTGAAGGTAATTAATGCCACTGAAATTTTTTTTCTTTAATTGCAAAAAAAAAAAAAAAAAATGAAAAGGCA